ATTATAATATCTATCTATCTATCTATCTATCTATCTATCTATCTATCTATCTATATAAAAACCCTAATATGCAAATAGACCAAACGGTGGAACAACCAAACAACTGGTCGCTATTACATGTGCTGACCACCATGGGGCATGTGTGAAACATGGCGGGCAGCGGCCACGGGGGGGATGGTGGAGCAGGTGAGCAGGGGTGCCAGACCAAGGTGGGGTGCTGGTCACTGTCATTGGGGAGAGCCTCTGATGGTTACTGAAAATTCTTTGCTCCTGCGCTGTGGTCCTGCCTGGCACTTGCACCCGCTGATGGTGCCGGCCCCGCTTGCACGTGCAGCCAGTGCTGGAGCTGCCGCTCACATCTGCTACTGGTACCTGGCGCTGGTCCCAATAACTCCATGACATCAGCAGGTGCAAGAGGCGGCTGCCAGTCCTGATTGCCCCTGCGGGCTTCTCTACCTCCCCCTGCTCCTGAGGGGCGATCGGGCAGCAGTTGCGACTCGCACCTGCTGACAGAGCCAGCCCTGCTTGCACCCGCTGCTGGCACCAGCCCCAATCTTTCTGTTCCGTCAGCACATGGGAACAGGGCTGCCAGCAGACAGGGGGCTGGGGGCCACAGCAGAAGGGGCCGGGCAGGGGCACGGAAGATGGGCCAAGACCTGCCCCTGTGCCCACCGCAGCCTCGAGGCCCACAGTTTATTTCAAGGTGCATGAATTCATGCACTGGGTCCCTAGTATTACATATAAGTTTATATAGTATCCTAAATCCTTTGTTGACATCTCAACAATCTTCAAAGCATTTCACCCAGAGTAGATTCCATCGCAAGAAACCACTTTCTTTGCTCATCCATAAAGCAATTCCCCCATTCATGAAATGAGACTGCAGTTAATACAGTGGCATCTTCAGGCTTCACTTTTACTTCGTATTCTCTTGCTATTTGCACCACAACTTGGCATAAGAATCTAGCTTTTAGCCTGTCTTGGCTTTCAATATGCCTTCCTTACTAAGCTTAATCATTTTTTTAAAATATATTTTATTGATTTTTTACAGAGAGGAAGGGGAAGGAATAGAGAGTTAGAAACATCGATGAGAGAGAAACATCTATCAGCTGCCTCCTGCACAGCCCCCTACTGGGGATGTGCCTGCAAGCAAGGTACATGCCCTTGATCGGAATTGAACCTGGGACCCTTCAGTCTGCAGGCCGACGCTCTATCTACTGAGCCAAACCAGTTAGGGCCCAGTTTTAGCTTTTGATTTAAAGTGAGAGACCTATAACTCTTCCTTTCACTTGGAACATTTAGAGACCACACTGTAGGGTATCAATTGGCCTAATTTCAATATTGCTGTATCAGAGAATAGAGAGGCCAGGAGAGAGAGAGAGAGAGAGAGAGAGAGAGAGAGAGAGAGAGACAGAGACATGGGGGAATAACCCAATAGGTAGGACAGTGAGAACACACACATTTTTTTTTTTTATTTCACTTAGCATGATGCTCTCCAGTTCCATCCATGCTGTTGCAAAAGGCAAGAGTTCCTTTTTTTTTTTTTACCGCAGCATAGTATTCCATTGGAACACACACATTTTTTTAAGTTTGCAGTCTTATACAGACACAGTTCATGGCAGCCCAAAACAATGACCAATAACAGCATCAAAGATCACTGATCACAGATAACCATAACACATATAATAATGAAAGATTTTGAAATATTGTGAGAACTACCAAAATATATCAGAGATACATGAAGTGAGCAAATGCTGTTTGAAAATGCCAATTTGCTTGATGCAAGGTGGCTACAATATTTCAATTTGTAAAATAAAGTAATAATCTGCAGAGTGCAATTAAGTAAAGTGCAATAAAATGAGGGAGATGCCTGTAATGAACATATCATTTCATGTAGCTAAATTTTTAAACAACTAATTTGTTGTAAATTTTTGCTTTTTAAAACATTTTCACTTAGGCCTCTAATTTCTCAAAAATTAGGTTATCTTGGCATACCTAATAGGTGTGAGTATAATTTTTAAATTATTTCATAGAATTGCTCCCATATACCCTAGAAGGCAAGTTGGTGATAGGTGTCAAAGTTTCAAAGTGTAACAATCCTCTTCAGAATTTATGGGAAGGAAATAATCAGAAAGTGGTCTAGGATTTAGGTACTATTTTGCTGGAGGCTAAGAACAGTAGTTAGCATAATAAATGCAAGAAGTTTATCAGAAGGCTGATGGACATCTTCAGCAGGGCTGAAGACCTGCGTATTATTAGCTGCTGTGTAACAGCTGAGGGCAATTCCCCTAACCCAGTGGTCGGCAAACTCATTTCTCAACAGAGCCAAATATCAACAGTATAACGACTGAAATTTCTTTTGAGAGCCAAATTTTTAAAACTTAAACTATATAGGTAGGTACATTGTTATTAACTTAATTAGGGTACTCCTAAGGCTTAGGAAGAGCCACACTCAAGGGGCCAAAGAGCCGCATGTGGCTCGTGAGCTGCAGTTTGTCAACCACTGTCCTAACCTGATAATCCTTTATTGTTTACCAAACCTTACCTTTGATATGTATATCTGCTTTGCTAAAAGGCAAAATGTGTGAATAAAATGCTGTAGGTCCGGACATTCGGGAGCCATTCCATTAGAGAGCTGGTTTCCATCTGGCTCCCCAAAAATGCCTTCCAAATTTATACTTCTTGTCTAGTCTCTATTCATTTATGTGCAGCCCCTCTCCAGATTCCTGAACCCAGTGTCTGTGGTGGGGAGCAGACATGGTATGCAGGAAATGGGACCACTGGCCTCAGTATTATCTTGGCCCAAACTGATTGAGAGATTCCTAGAATAAGCTCACTTGAGACTGCTAGCTCATCACAGAACTCAGAATATTTCAGCTAAAGCAGAAAACTGTCACTAGGTGATACCAAACGGCAGTGGGACAGGGAGAAATGTGGATTCAGCAGGTAGACCTCCTTCACTCCAGGCTGGTTTAACTGTGCAGACCTGCTCAGTCATCTCATTAACTTCACAATAACATTACTCCTCATTGTATGTGTTTGATAATTTTGACCCTATTTCTGTTATGGTGGGGTTTATGAGTTAATCACCTTTTCTGGGCATTTATCTTAATGTGGTGACATATTTGACACATACACTTACATCAACAGAAGAACTGATACTGCTCCTTGAGCCTGAGGTACTAGCAATCCAATGGCCATATCCATTTTCTGGTCCATCCACATTAATATCTGCTAAGTGCTGCTGCAATGCTTAAAATAAATGAGAAGAAAAACAAAACCCATCAAATCAACCCCTTTTGGAAAGATCCATTACTAGAGAAGTATAATAAACATGTCATAGCTGGATGAAAAAGGATCCACAGACATGATTACAGGTATTTCTTTTTGCATGTCTGAAAAGGAGCAAAGGACTTCAGGCCACAGAAAGCCTTCCCTTCCTCTTCTCCTTCCTTCTAATGCCCTCTGTACACATATATCGCTTTTCTTAACTGATCCTGCGGGTGACAATAACTGTATATATAGGCTTGATATTTTCCTTTTTGGAAGGTAATCTTTCAAGTATTAATAGATGATTTCAGCAACATTTTCTTATGACATAGAAGATTAATAGAAAACTTACTGCTATACCTGAAACAAATACAAAATAATATTGAATGTAAACTCTAATTTAAAAAAAAGAAAGAAAGAAAACCTATGGTGACTTTTATTTTACCATAAGGAGATATCAATTAATCTTTGCCATAATAAATAAAGCAGTCTAGGCATTAACTGCTATGGAAAAAGAGTTTTTCTTGGAAAATAAATAATTCATACCTGTAGGCCAATACTTGCTTAACACTTTATTAAAATAATCCCTTCTGTAGATCACTCTATGTCTGAGCCTCAAAGATAATTATTAGGCCATGATATATGGGAGGTAATCATGATCCTTGCTAATGTCATAAAGACACGAAGGAAACAAGTACTAATCTGAAAATACTAAGTTATGACATAAGATAATGTAATTACCATTTCTTTTTCATGGTGGTAATAACGAAGATCTAGGTTCTTTGCAAGTTTGATGATCACAATACGGTTTCATTGCCTATACGCACTATACTGTACATTAGTACTGCAGGACTTATTTACTAGTTGCAAGTCTGTCCCCTTAAATAACATCTCTTGAAAAAATGAAAACTCTAAATGTTATTACTCTGACCTAATTCTTCATAAATTCTCAAATATTTGCCTGCAGAGACTTTGTCAATTATTTTACTAACCTGGATTACCAGATATTAGTCTGCAGATTTGAAAACATCGGCTTATTTGTTTTATTCCATTGAGCCAACATTTTTCTGGCAGCTAATATCTTCAAGTAGTTCAAAAATAAAATGAAAACAAAACAAATTCAAAAAGCAAGAGTAGAAAGGGTATACAGATATAATGAAAAGTATTCCTCCTACTCCTTTCCTAGATCCTGTCTACTTCTCCTCTGTAGAGGCAAGTCATGTGGGCAGTTATTCAGGCATCTTTACAAAAATATCTTTTGCAAATACAAGCTAACTAAACAAATCTATTTATAGAGTCTTCCATTAAATATTTATCAATTTCCTATTATATTTGTCTATTACCTATGTTCTGCTGGCTTTGTCTTTTCTGAAAATACTGAATGACTAAAGAGAGAAAATACCCATTAACTAACTTAGTTAACTACAAATCAGCTCTGATTAATATAATTTCCACTGAAAAGTAGAGGCAAAGGGATTAATAAATTAAAATCTTACCCATAAATCCTCCACTGGCAATGCTCACATATTCTTTGTTTTTCTGTAATGGAATATAAACTTTAAATTATTCCAAAATGCAATATAATTAAAACTCCTGATAATTGCCAAAAACGGTTTGGCTCAGTGGATAGAGCGTCGGCCTGCGGACTGAAGGGTCCCGGGTTCGATTCCGGTCAAGGGCATGTGCCTGGGTTGCGAGCACATCCCCAGTGGGAGATGTGCAGGAGGCAGCTGGTCGATGTTTCTCTCTCATCGATGTTTCTGACTCTCTATCTCTCTCCCTTCCTCTCTGTAAAAAATCAATAAAATATATTTAAAAAAAAAACTCCTGATAATTCTGTAAACATTGACAGATGTAATATAAGGTTATTTGCTAACATTATGGACTTTGGCATAGAGAGGTAAATACATTTACCTTGTGTATTGTAAGGCCTGGTACTTGGGTGGGAAGAAAGGAAGAACTTCATGGCTCTCACAAGACTGTAATTTTATTTGTATTATACTTCCAATAGTGTAATAAAGAGTCAAATGAAAAACAGGTAAGTTGTATTTTTGGATATAATTAGAGTGTTGTTTTTTTTAAATTTTCAAAATAGTGTGTCCTTTATAAAAAGGAAATATAAAAGCGAATATTCCGAATGAAAAAAATGACAGAATGTTATCATTTTACAAACAATTTCCCCTCTAACAAATACATGGAAGGAAATATATTTTGAAAGATAACTTATAAATCTATAAATTTTAAAAGTCTTAAAAAGATATCATCCAAGTGCAATGTCTTGTTTTGGATATTGGGAAATTCAGGGAAACCTGAACACTATGTTATTTTTTATAATAAAGTCTAATAATGATAATGTGATTATGTCGTACAAACAGTTTACAGGTTTCAATTCTCTGCACTTCTAGATTTGTTTGAAATTATCCATGATAGTCTACGGCCATACCACCCTGAACGCGCCCAATCTCGTCTGAAATTATCCATGATAAAAATTGGGAGGGAAATTTCTAAGCCACATCAAGAACTTGAATTATAAAAATAGAGTTCATAATATTCCAAATTTTTGCTATCTGACCGCCCTCACAATATGCAGTTTATACCAGAGCATTTTTTGAATAGGCCAATTAAATTTATAAATAAAATGAGTTTGAGTCCCTATTTGTTATTCTGTATAAATTTCTAAAATCTTTTCTTTAATAAAGTACAAAGTTATCTTATAGTCTCTCCCCCAAATATCTCAGTACTTCTCTCATTTTGTCTTTTAAGGATTCTGTCTTCTACATAATTTTCTCAAACCTGATTCCCAGTAAAATATAACATGAATAGAAAGGACCCAAGTTGAGTGGCTTGTGCAACACCACACCACTGTCTTCCTGATTCCATAGTTCAGGGTTACACAAAAAGAGGACTTTAACTGAGTGCGGCTTTGTAGAGAAGGGAGGGGAACAGATTGCATAAAGTCACAAATACAGATTAGTTACGCTGAAGATAATTTATATTCAAACACACAAAAAGAGGTAGCTAAAAATAGCGAATATATTAAAATGAATTACACAGCTACTATAAATAGTCTTAGGACATAAATAAAGGTAAAGATCAATGCAATGGAATAATCCAGGAACAGATGCTAACGTATAGAAGAATTCAGTATATTAAAATTGTGATATTTAAAATTGATAGCATAACTGGTTAGCTACCAGGGAAAAAAATTTTATTTTTTTGCTTCCTACATACTTTTTGCATAGAAAACCATTCCACACAGTTCACAACTTAAACAAAAACGGACACCTGATAAGCATGCAAGAAAACTCTGGGGGAAAGACCTTTCTTGGCAAGACACAAAATATACAAATTGTAACAAAAAAAAACAAAAAAAAAAGAGCCCAGCTGGAGTGGCTCAATGGTTGAGTGTCGACCTATGAACCAGAGGTCATGGTCTGATTCCCAGTCAGGGCATATGCCTGAGTTGCGGGCTCAATCCCTAGTAGGGGGCATGCAGGAGGCAGCCAATCAATGATTCTCTCTCACCATTGATGTTTCTCTCTCTCTCTCTCTCTCTCTCTCTCTGAAATCAATATATTTTTTTAAAAAAGAAAAACACAGATAAATTTAACAATGTAGATAACAGCACAAAAATGCCTATGAGAATTTCTTTCTTTTTTAAAAAATATATTTTATTGATTTTTTACAGAGAGGGAGGGAGAGGGATACAGAGTTAGAAACATTAATGAGAGAGAAACATCGATCAGCTGCCTCCTGCACACCCCGTACTGGGGATATGCCCGCAACCAAAGTACATGCGCTTGGCCAGAATCGAATCTGGGACCCTTCATTCCACAAGCCGATGCTCTATCCACTGAGCAAAACCCACTAGGGCTCCATGTATATTCTTTATTATGTATTCTGCTTGCTTTAACTACCGTTAAGTTCAAGGTCAGCAATCATTCAGGCTTCACCTGAAATAGTTTTCTAGGAAAAAAATATTTAGTCACCATGAAAACAAAACAAGACTCTTATAAATAAAATTCCTGGGATAAGAAAAAAAAAATATATGTGTAAATGTACCTATAATATACAAAAACAAAAGTTGAAAATTTACTGAAACATTACCTGTACAGTGGTCCATGGTACAGATATACCATTATACAAAATAAACAGGCTACGAGAAAAAAATGTGTGGTTACTGTTTCTTTTTAATATACTTTATTGATTTCTTACAGAGAGAAAGGGAGAGAGATAGAGAGTTAGAAACATCGATAGCTGCCTCCTGCACACTCTTTACTGGGTATGTGCCCGCAACCAAGGTACATGCCCTTGACCAGAACCGAACCTGGGACTCTTTAGTCCACAGGCCGACGCTCTATCCACTGAGCCAAACCAGTTAGGGCTACTGTTTGTTTCTTAATAAATTACAGTGTTCCTTAGGTGTCATGACAAGAAAAGTTTAACACTGAGTGGAATGGTCCATGACTAAACTAATACATTAAAAACAAGCTATATTTTTTATTTTCACTAACACAGCAGGCCATGTATTTCTTAGAGGACAGTCAGAAATAGCAGAAACCCTTTATTTATCAGCACTAATCTAGGTACTAGAGAGAAAGGAATGAAAAAATTAATTTCTCACTCTCAAGGAACAAGTATGCTAATAACTACAGATTTTTTTTTTTTGAAACTACTATACTAGGGCACATTAAAATAGCACAGTGAAAATCCAATAAAAAATGGATGAACCATAGAAGCAATTTGCTAAATAATTAAACAGCAAACTTGCAAAAGGATGCTTAATATTACTAGTTATTATCACTGTTTTTCATGCATCATTCTTAGCAAGTAAAAAATAATTGGTAATGTCCACTAATGCTGAATGTAGAAAACAATTATTCTCATATACGGTTGTAAAGTATAAAGGTTCAGCCTTTTTAAAGGGCAATATGGCAGTCGTCTCTTTTAAAATTTTACACATCCACACCTCTCAACCCAACAACTCTTCTTTGAGGAATCTATTTTACAGAAATATTTGCATGAGTTCACAATGTATGTACAGGATGTTAACTGCACTGATTATTATAAGAAATGTAATGTTAATTACATTTGATTAATGTATTATTAATCAAACAATAATCAAAATGTAAATTAATCAAAATGTGCATTAATCAAACAATAATTATGGTATATCTGTACCATGGACCAAATACTGCCATTAAAAAGAATGTACTTAAGTGGAAAGATCTCTAAGAAACTTTTAAATAAAAAAACAAATGAACTGCCAAGTGGAAAAAGCGAACAAAAAATATATAAATATGTATGACGGATCTAGAAGATTAAGTATGCCATTACCAGTTAACTCTGGAGATTCTCTGAAATTTTTTTTTTAATTCAAGTATTTGTGAATCACTTGAGTGAATTTTAAAACCATCTAAGTCTTCCTGCACTAATCAAGGAAGAGAAAGGCACAAAGTTCAATTTCAGGATGCAAACAAGCTAGGATTGCCTTCTTTACCTACAGCGCCCAAAACTCTCTGGGTTGTTTTACCTTCATTTTCCAGGAGTTTCCTCTCAACACCACCTAGGCCCTGCTACATGCCCTTTCAGTCATAGCATCAATTTTTTCAGACAGGCTGGGAAGAGGGCAGATTGCACCATCAGCAAGTGTTGACTGCTCTTTCCACCTTCCCTATCCCCAAGGCTCTAATAACCTCATAATGGCTTAAATGACATCAGTCCCAAGTCTACACTACTCTAAGCATCTCTGACAATATTTAACTATTTACCTCATCTACTTCTTCAATTAAAGTGATCAGACGATAGAAATTTTAACAACTTAACACCTACTAAGTATTAGTTTATTATATACGTAAGTATTCATGATGGGAAAAAAGGCTTATCATAAAAACTTTTAGAATAATTACCCAATTACAAAAGAACTAATATTTACAGAGTACTTACTAGATGCAAGGCACATCAGGTAGCTTGTAGTCAGAAGTTTAGAATTTACTGACATAACAATGGTAAGCAATAGTAAGCCATAGTAAACAATGTTTTCATCCTTTAGGACAGTGGTTCTCAACCTTCTGGCCCTTTAAAGTCAGCTCCTCATGTTGTGACCCAACCATAAAATTATTTTTGTTGCTACTTCATAACTGTAATGTTGCTACTGTTATGAATCGTAATGTAAACATCTGATATACAGGATGGTCTTAGGCAACCCCTGTGAAAGGGTCGTTCGACCGCCAAAGGGGTCGCGACCCACAGGTTGAGAACCACTTCTTTAGGATGCCAAAAGGGTGCCCTCAGTGAAAAGGCAACCCGAGAGCAACTTTTATCATAAATACAGAGACTCCCTCCTTAAGCAGAAAGAAAAACACCCCTAAATTGGGTACATTTACTAGTATATTTATAAGCTAAAGAAAATAAAAAGATTTCTTCTGTTAATTAAAAAAAATTAATAAGCATTTATACTAACCAGATCTGAATCTAAGTGGAAAGCAGTTGATAAATGCCCAGCATTATACTGTTCTGCAGGACGGCAATCCACCACAAAGAACCGGACTCCTTCCTAAGAAAGAAACAATTTTTTGATGTACTGAAATTTGCCATTGGAGTTGTATTTTAGATAATACTAATAATTAACCAAAGAAGGGGGAATACGTTTATTAAAAAATTGATCTCACATAGATCAGAAGGACCCAATCAATACAGATACAAGAAAATTACCTCAAGATTCTAAAATATTGTATTAATTTAAAACAGTAAAACATTTTGTATATACTGTTCTTGACCAGAAAGTCTTAAAATATGTACCAGGAAAATGTCAGTTTGAATTATAAAACTAATTATAATATATTGGAACTTAATTTTTTAAATGTGAATCATGTTAAACAATTTTTTAAAAACCATAATTGTACCATATAGGTACAATTCCTGTTTCTGCAAATCAACAAACTTATCAACACTTGAATTCACATAAGAACTAAATTTATTTGGTGGGTGAGGGGAGGTTTTACAATTGCAGTTTGAACTGAGGAGGTTCATATGGGTCTTATTAAACTATATTACATATTTTCATTTGTTTTTTAATAATAGTTCTAGCCCTGACTGGTTTGGCTCAGTGGATAGAGCATCGGCCTACGGACTGAAGGGTCCCGGGGCAGTCAAGGGCATGTGCCTTGGTTGCAGGCACATCCCTAGTGGAGGGTGTGCAGGAGGCAGCTGACCAATGTTTCTCTCTCATCGATGTTTCTAACTCTCTATCCCTCTCCCTTCCTCTCTGTAAAAAATCAATAAAATATATTTTAAAAAATAATAGTTCTAATAAGAAAAATACGTGAATTACTTGTTTTAAAAAGATCTACTGTCAAAGGCATTTTCCTGTCTATTCCTCTCTCCTCTTTGGAAATACATCCCACATTCCAAATAAACACGTGCATGGGTAAATGTTGCAATACTAGTAATAGTTCCTCAAGTCTCCTTTGTTACATGCTTTATGGCATTTAACCTTGTAATTTAATCAGTTGTGTAACAACCCAGAATTTAACTTTTAAATGCTAAATTCACTCTGTTAAGTACTTTATACACCATTTAGTTGCTTTGCTAAAATGAAAAAGGTTTAACAGTTTACAAAAATTGGTGTAAAAAATAATTAGTTGTTGACAACTAAAATAACACCAATACTGGCAGTTTAAAAATGACCATCTGGACAGAAGATTCAGCACATTAATCATCAAAGAAAGCAAAATAGCTACATTTTTGTAGTAGATTAATTTTGTGGAAATCATCAAACAGGGAGGAAATACTGGTTCCTTGTATTTAAAGGGAACAATCTTGCCCTAGCCAGTTTGGCTCAGTGGATAGAGTATCGACCTGCACACCATAAGGGTCCCTGGTTCAATTCTGACCTTGACTGCAGGCTCCTCCCTGGCCCAGGCTTGATCAGGGCTCGTGCAGGAGGCAACCAATCAATGTGTTTCTCTTTTATCGATGTTTCTCTCTGTCTTTCCTTCTCTCTTACACTTTCCCAAAAAATCAATGGAAAAATATCCCGGGGTAAGGATTAACAACAATAACAAAATAATAATAAAAATAAAAAATAAAAGGGACAGTTCTCTGACAAAACTGTGGGCTTTCTTTACTTACCCCCTGCAGCTGATTTGCTTGAAGGATCTCTGAGACCGAGATTGCCAGACAAAGAGCCTGACTCAGATCTGCCTCATCATCCTTAATTCCCAACAAAGTACTACCAAATAGATGGTGATTATCCTGTTTGAAGAGACAATTTAAAAATACTATAAAGAAAAAACAAAATCAAAATTTATTTCTGAAATACTCTTAATATAACATGGTAAGAGGTAAAATCTCTATATATATAAAAGCCTAAGTGACCGGTCAACTGGTTGACTGGTAGCTATGACGTGCACTGACCACCAGAGGGCAGATGCTCAACACAGGAGCTGCCCCTTGGTGGTCAGTATGCTCCCACAGCGGGAGCACCGCTCAGCTGACCAACAGGCGCCAGACTTCGGGCTCATAGCTGGTGAGCCTACTGAGCGGTAGGGCAGGTGCAGCAGGACTGGGATGAGTGGGAGCAGTGCAGCGCCCAGCCCGGGCTCCTCCCCGGCTGCCTGCTGCAGCCTGATCCCTGTAGGCCATGCTGAGGGACCCCATCAGTGCACAAATGCATGCACTGGGCCTCTAGTAATTATATAACATCCTTGAGTTGTGTGATTTTTAAAACTTAATATATCATCTCAAATCTTGTAAGCTAAAAAATACAAAAAGATACAAAGTTCCTGTCAGAGTTCACACAAAATGAAATAACACACTCTTCAAAGTTATTTTCCATACTATTACCTATAACTAAATACTAAATTTTAAAATTGGTTACTCACAACTTTTCATATTTGATATAATAAAAACAAAAATATGGTTAAATGAATTGCATAAATTATGTAAGACACTGATTATACAGTAGTCTGCTCTAGTTAGCCAATGCTAGTGCAGATCATTTACTATGTCTGAATAAAAACTATTCCTCTTGCCAAGACCGGTTTGGCTCAGTGGATAGAGCGTCGGCCTGCGGACTGAAAGGTCCCGGGTTCGATTCCGGTCTGGGGCATGTACTTGGGTTGCGGGCACATCCCCGGTGGGAGATGTGCAGGAGGCAGCTGATCGATGTTTCTCTCTCATCGAAGTTTCTAGCTCTCTATCTCTCTCCCTTCCTCTCTGTAAAAAATCAATAAAATATATTAAAAAAAACCAAAAAAAACTATTCCTCTTAAGAGACTGAAAAGTATAAGACTTCTTTTCACCCAGCATCCTAAATCACTATCCCATAATCTGACTTACTCAACATTGTTGGGAACTGAGATTTACATAAGGCAATTATTAAAATAGCTGAAATCAGTCCCTAGAAACAAAACAAATCTCTTCTTTAATTAGTTTCAAGGAAAATGTTCTTAAAAGGTTTCTCTTAACTGCCTTCTAAAACATGCTATACTGAACATAACTAAACCTCATCTTGATGTTTCAGTGACATAACTACCAACTAGCAATCATTATGGTACAATGCGTTAAAAAAAAAAAAAGACAATTAATGCTCTCATTGATACCTGAGGTCACAGACAAACCTGTGTGCCATACTAGTTGTTAAAGTACTTCTCTGCCTCCTCCACTATTAGCTTTTGCTTCCTGGAGTTTTACTTTCTAGGAGCTCACACCACTTACACTTCTAATCTGGTGTCCTTTCTCTTGTAAGCACTTGTCTGGTCTGAGAAAGATTCTAGGTCTCTGTAGGGCTAAGTGATCCTTTTTTGCTTACAAGACAGCTCTGTATAAGTAAAGTGCAAAACTGAACTCCAGATAAAGAAGGCATAATTATACATGCCCCATCAGATTTTTCTAATACAATTTTTAAAAGAGAGCACTAATTTAAGAAATATAGTCAATATTCTAATGATCAGAAATAACTAATAATGAGAGTAGGGGTGAGATAATTGTAACATATCTGTATATTATCTTTTTTAATCTGTCTGTTTCTCCATGAGGGAGAGTATTTATAGTAGAAAATCACACAAAACTGCAACACATAAAAAGACAGAAAAGAAAACCAGCCTTGAGTATTTTAAATGAAATGGATAATGAGAACAATAAAACAATGTGCAAAATGTGAAACAATGAATAGTTTGTCATTTCCTATTTTATACCTTTCTAAATGAAGCTGGTGTTTTACTGCAATAATACTGAGCCAGAGAGAAAAGGTCTTCTATATCTTCTAGATTCAAACTGGATGGAGTGTTTTCCAAGAACTCTGAAATAGGAGTATAGAGATAACAACATTAAAAAAAAAATTTTGTGAAGAATATAACAAACATTATTTATGTATCAAAGCTAGAATGTGCTCAACATAATAAAAATTATATAAATGGAATCTTAACAGTGATGCCTTTAAAACTGTTTGGGGAGAAGTGGATTTCCCCAAAAGAGCTGAAACTGTTAATGCAATTTTATTAGTGAATGGTGGTGACAGGCAACCAAATCAAATTCATTAGCCTTAATTAGAATATTGTAATTTATTTACTTATTTAACAAACACCTAGTAAGTGCCAGGGTCTCTGGAAATAAAAGTGACTAAGAAATAGTTCCTGACTTAAGGAACTGTGTCTAGTGTGAGAATGTTAAAATAAATCATTAAAATGTTAACAAGATAAACACTGTAATATAGATAGCACAAAGTGCTAGGCAATGTAGAGAGAAAATAACAAATCTGTGTTGGGTTAGAGTGGGAAGAACGGAAAACGAGAACCAAGGTTTCACAATGAAGATACCATAAAAGCAGAGTATTGAAAGGTAAACGGAGAAAGAAGGAAGGGGGCTGGAAGGGAAGGGGGCAGGAGAGAAGGGAAAAGAGAGAGAGGGAGAGAAAGAGAGGAAGGCAAGGAGGGAGACAGGAAGGGAGAAAGGAGGTAGAAAAAGAGAAGGTGAAGGGGAGAGGAGGGGAGGGCAAGGCATTTTATTTGAACAAGGAAACCAAAGAAATAGTATATGGAAAGGAATGAAAAGACATGAATGAATGAATGAATGAATGAATGAGGATAGCAAAACTGGGGAAAATAGTCTAACATTTGTACCTGAAGACTAAGTAAGAGTTGAATTGAACCTTAGAGCTCTTCTAGACTAATCCCCTAAATTTATAGAGAAAACTGAGTTTAATAAAACTAAGTGATGCTAAGCAAAATAAACCAGAGAAATATAAGTATCACATGATCTCACTCATTTGTGGAATATAATGAACAACATAAACTGATGAACAAAAATAGAACCATTGACACAGAAGCATCAAACAGACTGTCCAACCTATGAGGGAAGGTAGGAGATGTGGGGGTGAGAGATCAACCGAAGGACTTGTATGCATGCATATGAGTATAACCAATGGACACAAACAGTAGGGGGGCGAGGGCATGTGCTGGGGCTGGGAGCAGCCAGGGAGCCGTCAATAGGGGAAAAAGGAGACTCATGTAATACTTTAAACAATAAAGAATTTAAATTAAAAATAAAACTAAATAAATAAAACTAAGTGACATGAAATTATCTACATTAAATTCTACTTACGGATAACTTCTTCTTTGCTGTCAGACTCTTGTGCTAAAATAACTTCTCTAAAAAAAGAATCAAATGAGTTAAATATTAACAGACCACCCTGAGAACAGAGAAGAGAAAAATCTAACCAACTTGATACTTACTTTGCATTAACAAGGATTATTAACATTAAAAAATAAATAAAAAATGGATCTGCTTGTTGTAGATATCCATCCCATAATGCCTCAGTGACTTCAATGGAACAGTAACATGCAAAAAGGCTTCCAAGCTGTAATCAGAAAATGAAATGATGAACATAAGCCATTAGAAATGACTTGTTCTTTTAAAAGTATTAAAACAAATGCATAAATAACTCTAAATCAAGTTATCAGCAGCTGAAATTTAATGTGTACTTTAATTTTAGTATTCAGAATCCAAAAGCAGAACATGTGGATTCAAAGCACAGAGGAGCCACGTACTAGCTGTCTGACTTAGGGCATAAAACAAACTTCAAAGCTTCCATTTCTACTTCTGTTAAAAAATAAATAGTAATACTACTAACAACCTTCTTACATTGTTGTGAAGAGATAATTAACCTAGACTTTCTAAAGTAACTACCACATATTTACCATAGCCTAACAACTAACAATTACCACTGAGCTCTCTAAGGATAACTTGCATAATTATTACAGTATCTAATTTATAAGGTAATTGTGAGAATCAAACACAGTAATTGAAAAGCACCTAAAAATATTTAATGAAAATATAAATATGAATTGCTCCCAATGCTTACTTATATATCACTTGAAATATATGAGACAACATTTATACCCCTCAATAGGTTTCAAAACCCTATGGTTTTCTCTTCCAAATAAAAAAATTGTTAATGTATACGTTTCTCTAGAGTCCAACTGTGCTTTAAATTGCACAAATTCAATGGTACTTTCCATTTTCATTAGAAACAGAAACAATTCCATGTAGAAATTTAAGTTTAAAACATTTCTTATGGCTAAAGGCAGCTAATGAGAATACATACATTTAGTGCCAGAACACATATATGTTGTTCCAGACACTAAGTTACTGTCACAGTATTAAATATTTTTATTTAAAATATCTCTTTATTTCAAATATTCTCACAATAAGCCTTCAAAGAGGACATTTTCCTCCCCATTTTATAGGTGAGGAAACAGACTTGTATTAAATAACATTCCCAAGTTCACAGAGCTAGTTAGTGGTGGTATTCAAACTAAAGACCTGAGAAGCCACAGACCATGTAACTGCATTACACTTGACCACAAAACTTTTAAAATACATACTACTACTGAGTTTTTTGTTGTTTTAAAAAAAATAGATCAGAAGATGCAAATACAAACAGAATAGCAATATGGTCATCATTAAACTCATTTAACTAAACTAAAGCTAACATTGCACTGTTTATAACTGTAGATTCTCAGGGTTTAAGAATTAGTTTTGTTTCATCTCAGGTTAAAAAAGAAAAGCTCTGCCCTAGCTGGTTTGGCTCAGTGGATAGAGCGTTGGCCTGCAGACCAAAGTGTCCAGGGTTCGATTCCAGTCAAGGGCATGTACCTCGGTTGCAGGCTCCTCCCGGCCCAGGCCCTGGTCAGGGCTCGTGCTGGAGGCAACCAATCGATGTGTTTCTCTCACATCAAGGTTTCTCTTTGTCTTTCCCTCTCTCTTCCACTCTCCCTAAAAAATCAATGGAAAAATATCCTTGGGTGAGGATTAACAAAAAAGAAAAAAGACTCCATTCTACAGACATACTCGTAGCAAGAATGAACTATTTGGGGTACTGAAAGAAGAGAAACCAGTTTTTAATGTTTAGTTAAAATCTACTACCAGCACTGAGTATTAATTTCAAGTTCTGGTAACAGAAATGGCATGTTCTAAGTATGGTGTGACCAGAGAAACCACCATTAGGTATTAATGCTAAAAAAATAAAAATAAAAATTCCTCATTTTAACACAAATAGTTAATGGCAAATATGAATCTCAGAGAAGCAATAGTTTTTTAGGCATTTTATTATTTTAACTCAGAGTGACAAGCCTATATAGCCAAGAGGGAACTAAAGAATAGGCTGCTGCAGTTTCAGATTTACTAGGCCAGAGTTTAAACCAGTTAGAATCTCTATTTAGCATTTTCTGATTGTTAACTCATCCCTTTACCCTCTGAGATAGATACTATTATTATTCCCATTTTACAGATGAAAAAATTGAAGCTCAGAGGCTGTCTTAAATCACAGTTAATAAGTGACTGCAATGGAATTTCCTAAAATTAGATAAGACATGATCAAGGAATGTTTAATTTTTGAATATATATTCTTCCAGCACCCAATCATTGTTTTAAAAATATCTCAAACATAACCTAGAAGAGCAGTTCTCAAAGTATGACCTGAGGTGCCCTGAAATCCCCAAGAGTATTTACAGGGTAGTCAATGACGTGAAATAATACTTAGACTTTATTTGCCTTTTTCATACTCATGCTCTCACAAATAAACAACAGAATGTTCCAAAGGCTACATGAAGTGTGGTATCATCAGAGACTGAATCCAGAAGCAGATATGAGAATCTACTAAAAATTAATGAGATTTGCAAAAATATAGAACTAGAGGCCAGGTGCATGAAATTCGTGCACTGGGTGGGGGGTTCCTCAGCCCGGCCTGCACCCTCTCTAATCCGGGACCCCTGAGGGGATGTCCAACTGCAGGTTTAGGCCCAATCCCTCTCACAGTTGGACATCCCTCTTGCAATCCGGGACCACTGGCTCCTAACTGCTCACCTGCCTGCCTGCATGCCTGATTGCCCCTAACCACTCTGCCTGCTGGCCTGATCACCCCTAACCACCTCTGCCTTGGCCCCCACCACCGTGGCTTTGTCCAGAAGATATCCGGTCTAATTAGCATATTATCCTTTTATTAGTATAGATGCCAATGCCACTATTCTCACTAATTTTCTTCTGAAAAATAGTTATTTTTTATTTTAAAAGTACGTTATTTATGTTAACATGTCATGGATTTATCATTACTCTAAATAAATACTTAAAACTTCTTAGTTTTAATTTCTAATGAACACAACCCATATAAACAATGGAACCTCAATAAATGTTGTGTATAAGTGGTCCCAAGATCAAAAGATTTGAGGACACTGACCTAGAATAACAAACTGCCCACTCAACATACAAATACAGAATGTCAGAGCACTGAGATGTACATTATATTCTTTTATATTAGTCATTTGATAACCTTATCTATTTTCATGACTGAATATCACTTCTAATATATATCATCAATTTTATTAAAGTTTCAAAGTGAACTAATATTTATCATATATTATATATATATATTTATATACTAGAGGCCCAGTGCATGAAATTCATGCATGGATGGGGATCTAGGCCTGGCCAGTGATCAGGGCCGGGCCGACCGGGGCCCGAAGAGAAGGCGATGGTTGTCGGGACGGGTGTGGAAGAACAGATGCCGGATGCTGACGCCACCACCATGCGGTTCCCTATCTCCCCCCCACCTCCTTCCCTCGCCACAGCGTTGCCACTGTGCTGGGCCAGTGGAGGGCTGCTCGGGGCCTGCCAGCTGGGGGTAGGGACAGGGTGCAGGAGGTTGGCTGCCGGACCCAAGGAGAGAGCTGGCCCTTGGCCCCCCTAATAAAGGGGCCGCGTCTGCCGCCACCCACTTCTGGTTCCCCATCCCAGCACGAGGCCTGGACCCGATTGGGTGATCGGGGCCTGCCGGCTTGGGGGAAGAGATTGTGGGAGGTTGGCCAGCCAGGGGAGGTTGGCTGTGGGAGCATACTGACCACGAGGGGGAGCTCTTGCATTGCATGTCTGCCCCCCTGGTGGTCAGCGCACGTCACAGCAACCAGTCATTCAGTTGTAACGGTCGCTAAGGCTTTTATATATATACTAGAGGCCCGGTGCACAAAAATGTGTGCAGTCGGGGGGGTTGGGGAGGTGCCTCAGCCCGGCCTGTGCCCTCTCGC